CGACTCGTTTCCTGTACTTGCTTCGTTTGCATCATCAGTGGCTTTGAGATCCACACCCTCAACAACAAAATGGCTGCAAAAGTGGCGCGAAAAGGTGACTTTTTTGCCCAACTCTACTCAAGTCTCTTTTCAAACTCAAGAGGCTTCGTCTGTTTGTTAGCCACACTTCGCTCTTTTGTCGTGTGGCTGCTATTGTGTATAAAGATTTATACAACGGATTTTACAAGTATCAACCTAATTGTTTATAGAAGAGCCTTCCCCCTTCTCTGGTTGGAGTTAATCAATTTTTTTCTTGAATCAAGCCTCAGCTTGCGGGTGTATACGTGTGTGTATGTGTTTGTCTATATATGTATGTGTATGTTCGTTTGTTTGTGTGTGTGTACGATGTCTCAGGGTGCGTTGAGTATGTACGTGAATATGTGACATTGTGTATCTGTGTATGTAAAAGTGTATCTGTTTATATTGTTGTATACGTGTGTGTCAGCTTGAGAATGTGTCTTCGTCTTGAGAATGAGTGTGAATGTGAAATTGTGTATTTCTGTGTGTGGGTTTGGATCTCTTTATATTGCTGTGTGTGTGTGCCTCAGTGCGCATTGGGTATGTGTGGGCATGTGTGAACTTGTGTATATCTGAGTATAAGTGTGTATATATTCATATGATTGTAAGGGAGTGTTTCGGTGTGCTATAGAGTAAATATCTGCGAGTAAAAGCGAGCGTGTTTGCATATATAAAACTGCGTGCTAGTACGTGTGCAAATGTGTATGCGATATCTTGCCTCGTTGTTTGCGGGTATCCGAGTGTGCGTATGTGTGTTTGAATACCTGTGAGAATATGATTGTGCGTGTGTGTGTGTGTGTGTGTGTGTGTGTGTGTGTGTGAAAGAGATAGACAGACAGACACAGAGAGAGGGAGAGAGAGAGGGAGAGAGAGAGAGAGATCATTCGGAATTGGTATTTACTGAAAGTACATCATTTTTTTCGGCAATCCCTTGGAGTGAGTGAGTTCAACACCGGGCGCTTGACCGATATGAACCTAAAACATATTTGGCTTTGACCAATCAGTATATGGGTCACAATATTGATCATTTTTCAAATATATCGGTTCCAGTCTCTCAAAAATAAAATATCAACATTCGTTAATAGAAACAGGACTCAAGATTAACCTTTCCATAATTATCAGGAAGTGAAATAAAATTGGGGATGGCATCTATTCTGAATCCATCCATAGAATTCAGGATATGGAATCAGTAAATTCCAAACACTTCAAAAATCTCTGTATATGCATCAGTTGTAACAAATTTAGTATATAGGGTGCGATGGATAAATTATCGTCCAAATGACGCAAAAATGAAAATAACACTGACATCTCATTTTAACAGATATATTTACCCAAATTACACAAAAATATCTTGAAATGCTAAAGGGTAAATTTATTCAATAAGATCAGTATCGCCTTCAACCACAGCCTGAAGTTGACTTCAGAATCTCCTGCATCTCTTCTGGACAGTCTCCTTGTTAAAGTAAGCGAATTTTGACATATTCTTTGCCTTCAGTTCATATTTCGTGTTACAAGGAGTTTTGTTTGTCTCTCGCTCCACCCCACACATAATGATCAAGGGGGTTACAGTCTGGGGCGTTAAGTGCCATATGAAAGTAGTGATGTAGTCGCAGAATTTGTCTGACAGCCATGACTGGGTTCTCCTCCTTATGCGTTATGGTGCAAAGTCTTGTTGCCAGATATAGAGTCTACCAGCAGCCACCCAGATAACTCAGGGCAGCACTACCTCCTTCTCCGAGGCCCTTACCAACATATTCGGGAGTTATATTCTTATCAGAACGATCAGAGATTTTTCCGAGCTGCTGTAACTTCGTAATCACCAGTAGACTCATCCAACTCTTTCTGATTCCTCTGCACCATCCTCAGATTGACACCCAAACACCCTGAAATGTCCGTATTGGAGCGTCCGGTGCGAATGCTAAGCAGTTCAACATGCCGTTTTCAAATTTCACGTGTCGTAAAGTGCATCATAGTACTCTTTATTTTTTATCTCACAGACGGTACCCAACTGACCCTACTGTACTGTGTAGTTAACAAAGTTAAAAACAAAGAACGCGCATGCGCGAAATTAAAAATATACAATGAGGATAATTTACCCATCGCACTTTGTATGTAATTGGGCATAGAACTGCGACAGAAATAGTTTTGACTAATACTGCAAATTACTACAAAACGAAAACACTAATATAAAAACCCACATCCAGAACTTAAATAACCTCATCAAATCAAGATTTGCATATGATGATTTTTAAGTGTAGCTTAGATATGGCACAAGGCCCATAGAATGGGGCACCCAGTGAGGATCTTCAGTTGTATTTGATCTAGCGAGATAAACTCGCTTACCACATCAAAGCAACCAAATCAAAACATCCATATGGATGTCATTCAGAAATATCTAAACTAATGTATATACAACTATTTTCTATGATCGATGGTTAAAAAATGGCTTTGAGTGAACGAGACCCCCGTGGGCCTTAGCTAGGACTATCCTTCTTTGAACCTTGCTGTGTGGCGCTACAGAATCACAAACAATTAACTGCGCCAAATAACAGAAATCCCGTCACTTGAGGACTTTCAGTAACAGCAACAACTAAAATAGATAGTACGTGTAACTTGAACACTAAATAATGATATAATCAAAATATTGGCATTCCCCACTACTTCAAACAAAAGGTTAGGAAGGAAACCGCCATCAATAATGGAAAGAGCGATAACAGCTACTGGACTTGAGAAACCTATTTTCCTGAATATTGTTTTTACTGATAGTTCATCCAATACAAGGCCCAAGAGCCACTCAAGGTAGATGGTCACTGAGTGATAGCTGGAAAAAGAGTATTATAAGGATGAGGGGGGATAGATATCGGAGAGTCCTGGACTTAAAGAAATCAAGATTGTAATTGTCAGGGACGCAGTTTCTCGGGAGTTCGTAACAGTTCTGAGGAAGAAGTTGCCTGATTGGAACTTGTTTTTTTTTATCAAAGGAGCACGAAGGGAAGTGGGGATGGCTTGCCGCCAATGAACACGACATGGTGGGGGGTCCTAGTTTTGAAGATCTGGTGGCGGTGGATTTTGTTTATTAGTATATTAACCACTATGGTTTATTTCATGCTGAAATCTAAATATCTTGTAGAAGTTTTATACTTTAAGGTAAAGCTAGGTTTAGATATATAGTTTATAGATCATAAAATGTATTGTTGGAATGTATTTTGACGTTGCACTGATTGTCACTTTGCGATAAAGATGTATTCTTCGTCATTTTACTATAAAAATGACCTGTTGATGTGTTTGGTGGAGGTGTCACTATTTTCCCATAGCTAGGACCCTAACAGGTGCTACCACCCCTGGTCAGGGTAAACCTGGGAAAAAACACCTATTAAAATGGTCCCACGCTCCTCCAACACTCAAATCCCCCGATCAGAGGCCTTGCTAAATGATGTAGTTTATGGTCGTACCCAGGGCGATTGAAGGTCTGCCAGAGTGGCGAAAGGTGAGCAACCTTTGGTCGGTGGGATAAGGGTTGTCGGGTGAAGAATAATTCATCACCCACAGGGCCACGTAAGCGATTTTTGATAGAAATGTTATATAACTTTTAACTTAGAATAGAACTTACCGCTCATGGCGAATATTCCCTTATACGGAAACGGGTAATATTACAGTTATTATTATCTTTGTGTATATCATAAATAATTGTGATATCACAAAAACAATTAAAATAAAAAGAAGATACATTTCTTAGCGTGTGCAACTTGCTCATCTTTTTAAATGTTTATTCTGTTATCTTTACGTTTCTTTTTATCTCTATGTGTTTGCGGAGCAGAAGACATCGTAATTATTTCCGAATATCAGCCCGAAGGCTTGCAAACTGGCCGTGTAGCTTCAAGTCCCTGATTTTATTTTTCCATTCCCTTCTATTTAATTGCTATGAAAGTGTCCATTACATTAAAATAGCACTTATCGAAACGTCTAACAACAACGTTCTGAAGCCCATTTTATGTCAACCTTCCCGTCAACAACGCCCGGAGCATCATTGGCTTCTCTCTGTTGCTAAGGTCAGCCATTTTGTGCTAAAATAATCGTATACTGGCCACTCAGAGTAAATTGACCAGAAATCTGTGCCAGGATCATTTATAGGTTTGTCTGTAGAACAAAGAAGAAAAATGATTGGCTATTTGTTCTCCTAGAGTTAAGCAACTGTGTTCCGAGTATGAAGTGGATGGGTACTAATTACAAATACTTCACCTATAAAGTAACATATGGTACGCTAAATTGAATGGCATTTTGAAAGAAAGTTCACTTTCGTATTTTCTTATGAAAAAAAAAATATTATTCGACATTAAATTCTTTTCATATATACATTACGAGGCAAAAAAAATGAACGCACTCATAGAAAGTCGAGTTTTGTTTTTTACCAAGACAAGTGAGTAATAGAATTCGTTTATTAATATAAGATATTATTAATACAGGAATACATATGTACAGTATACAAGTCAAAAAATTTAGTATTTTGTCGGCTAAGCTTTTGCATTAATAACGTCCTTAATTCTTTATGCCATGCTACAGACTAAATACTTTAGTAATCCAACTAGTATTCACCGTGGATTTATGAGGCAGGCATAATATCTATCTCGCGCACGGTGAATACTAGACCCGGCTTCTTTGAGATTTCCCCCTTTCTAGCAAGATTAATGCTCGACAAACGTACATATAAGTTTTAGATTAAAATAAAATTCTTTTCATTTTTCATTCAAAATACTGTATTTTAGGAATACATTTTTAATAACATCGCCCACGTGACGCCGACGTGATCATATTGAAACGGAACGCTGATCTTGAAAAATTTCAGTTGTCTGTTTTGATCAGTCTTACTCTTATGTCCATCGTCTTTTCATGTTGAATTAAATATAGTCTAATGTTAATTATGTTTTATGAATATGTCCTGAAGA